GAGTGAGTGAGTGAGTGAGTGAGTGCCTGTATGCGTGGCTGCATGCGTGGCTGCATGCGTGCGCGCATGCGTGCGCGCATGGGCGCGTGCATGCATGCATGCGTGCATGCGTGCATGCGTGCATGCGTGCGAGGTGTGCGAGCCGTGCGTGCGGGCAAGCAGGGAGTGTGAACGTGCGAGCGTGCGAAAGTGCGAGCGTGCGGGCGTGTGAGCAAGCGTGCGAGCGTGCGAGCGGGCGAGCTGGCGAGCGGGCGAGTGGGCGAGCGTGCGAGCGTGCTGACGAGCAAGTGTGAGTGCGTGCATGCGTGCGTCCATCCGTCCGCGCGTGCGTGTATCCGTGCGTCCGTGCGTACGTGCGTCCGTGCGTCCGTGCGTCCGTGCGTCCGCGCGTTTGTCCGTCTGTGTCCGTCCGTGTCCGTCCGTGCCCGTCCGTGCCCGTTCGTGCATCCGCGCGTCTGCGCGTGCGTGTGTGCGTGCTTGCATGCGTGCTTGCGTGCGAGCGTGCTTGTATGCGTGCTTGCATGCTTGCGAGCGAGCGAGCGAGCGAGCGAGCGAGCGAGCGAGGATGTCGCGTGCTGGTTGACCGCATAAGCCGCCAGATTGCGAACGCAAATGTGGAGTCGTCGGAGCTACAAGGCAGCCACGACTGTCCTCAACACTGATGGTGTGGTCACCATCCACGTCCAAACCTTATGCTGAAGAGAGATGATTGCTCACGCAAAAAGACACCATGCTGTGAGATGATGATCTGTAACTGTTCACTGGACTTCCAAAAACAACCCAGCGGGCTTGACGAATCTTCGGTGCATCGTCCGGAGGTTGATGCTGCAGCGAAAGCCATCCACATGTGTGGGTGGGTGTGGGTGGGTGTGGGTGGGTGTGGGTGGGTGTGGGTGGGTGTGGGTGGGTGTGGGTGGGTGTGGGTGGGTGTGGGTGGGTGTGTGTGTGTGTGTCTCTGTGTGTGTCTCTGTGTGTGTGTGTGTGTCTCTCTGTGTGTGTGTCTCTGTGTGTGTGTCTCTGTGTGTGTGTCTCTGTGTGTGTGTGTGTGTGTCTCTGTGTGTGTGTCTCTGTTTGTGTGTCTCTGTGTGTGTGTCTCTGTGTGTGTGTCTCTGTGTGTGTGTGTGTCTGTGTGTGTGTCTCTGTGTGTGTGT